TTTTTTGCGATTTTCAAATTTTGATACGGTTGTTCTAAAATTCGGGTTAGACTCATTTCCCACTCAATTTGACCCCCTGAATAAGAATATGAAGTCGAATTTACGAAATCATGCACGGATTTTGAGATATATGGAAATTACAATTATAGGTGTTTCCGAAGCACATTTTCGGACATTTTTGGGGTCGTTTCAATTATGGTATAAAATTATTTATTAGTGAGATAAATATAATTATTTCAAACTATGGAGAAGATCAATAAATATGATAGAAATATTTGTATAATTAAATAGTTTCTCTCAAAATAAAAACAAAAAAATTAGCTTAAATGGAGCTAAAAAAATCCCATTAATTTTCTTCTTTGTTTTCCAAAAAATCTTATGGTCTATATTTTCTTGACACTATAAGTCCATAACAAATTAACAATATCTCTTATGGTCCCATATCTTTAACACTATAACAATATCAACCAATCACATTTCTCTCGTAAAAAAATCATCCCAAAATGCATAAATTGGACTCCCTTTAGCTCCATTTTCCCTTCTATTGCTTTCGATAGTCCAATCTACAAGACTTGTGAATGACTCAAATCCCAGTACAGCTCGAATTTCATTGAGCAGATCAGAATTTACAAATTGAAAAAGCATAATCTGTGTTAAATTTGGTGGATTTCTATGTAAATTTATGTGTAGAGTAGTTTCATTGATGGAAATGTGGAGGAGGAAGAGGAGTGGTGCGATTAATGATGATTTGAAATGGATCTGAAACCCTAAAACTCGAGAATTACCAGTTGATTTGTTTTCTAAAAAGAGGTAAAAGATTGATGCTGAATTTTTTATTGTTCGGCTTATTAGATCTGTTGAGATGAAATGAATTTTGGATTAGTGTGTGTTTGATTTTAGGGTTTATTAATGAACCATGAATTTGGAAGAATGATTAGCTTTGTGAAAAACGGTTTTTTATAGATACTGCAATTGGTGTTTAGCTTGAAATTTCATGTGGGAGTTATTCGGACTATTGTTATTGTTTGTCAATAGGGGAGGTGTTTTTTTTGGAGAAATTAGTATTTCAGTAGCCAAACTGTGTTAAGTATTGATTGTATTGGTGAAGAATTGAACCATTGAGAACTTTTTTCTGGATTTGGGAAAGTCAGAAACCTCTTTTTGTAGAAGTTAGAGTGTCTATTCTTTTTAAAATGCATGCTAGGCATCGGAGTCCGGTAGGTGGGTATAAGTCTAGTTCAATGGGAATGGGTGGTGTGGCTACTGCCTCGCGGGTTTCACCAGATGGATCAGGGAGAGGTCGTGGATTGCATAATTCGGAGTACAGAAACTATAACCGAGGTGGATTTGGGCGGGGACAGTCGAGGCAGTTTGGATTTCAGCAGCCTTCGCATGGGAACGACATTTTCATGGAAGCTGGACGGTTAGCAGCTGAGTATCTTGTTTCCAAGGGGTTGCTACCACCGAATGCTCTTTCAGGGAAATTGCCAAATGGTAGCTTAAAGAGCCCAGTTGGGAATTTTCAGGGATTTAAGCAACAAGATATTGATGAAGGTCAGACATCAACTCTTTCACGTATGGAGAGTGATGTTGGTCCTGGTAGGAGAAGGTTTTCTGATGAATATGAACCAGTGGGTTCAAGAAATTATATGAGAGGAAGGAGAAGAAATGAGTCCTTTCGAAGTTACAGCTCTGAGTTCAATCGAGAATTGCAAAGGACTGGGTCGTTAGATAGAGCCAGGGCCTACCCCGATGTGAATGGTCAAGATGAAGCTTTCCCACGTGATAGAGATGAACAGCAAGTGGCTAAAGATAGTAGTGTGATGCTACCTAGTTCCCTTCCTGGTAAACAAAATCCAGATATAGAGAGTGCGGAGGAGTCGATGTGCTGTGATCCAAAACCTGCCCTGGGAGATTCAGGTAAAGAGACAGGTCCCATCAACACTGGAAATGATCTCCCATCAGATGGTGAACCTGAACCAAAGAAGTCTGCAGACATTGGAATGTTGGAAGAAAAAGCTGATCCTGTTAATCTTGCCAACAGTACTGATGGGTTGGAGAAAATAGGTGTTAACGAGGATATAGAAGTCAAGTTGTTCAGCCAAGAACATAACCAGACCAGCATGACTGATAATGATTTACTTAGCTTATGCAGGTTTGAGAAGGTTCCGACGAGAACACGTTCTTCATTGGCAAACAGAGGTTTGAAGGTTTGTCATGATTCTGAAGATGAGGATGCTCATGAGAGTGATATCCCTAAAGAAACTGAAGTCTATTCCCAAGAAGACATCCCTGTGGATGCTTCCCCTGGTGTCATTTTATCAGATCAAAACCGTGATGCGAAAAGCCTTGATTCTGACCAACTGAAACCGCAGTCCACCGAGGAAGAGCCATGTCTTACTTATGCCAATAAGCAGTTAAATGAGACAAGCTCTTCATCCTTTCCTGGAAGTAAGTTAATGAGGGAGGAAGAGAAAATAGAGGGACTAACTGAAATTGAAACTTGCAGTGCTATAGACATGGGAAGAGGTCAGAAACGAGAACTGGATGACAATGATGATTGTAAGGGAGGAGGAACTAAGAGACCTAGAGAATTGGCTTCATTAACAAGTACTTTCTCAGATGTCTTTCTGTACCATTCTAATTCAATGGAAAAGCAACAGATTTCACAGGAACCTAGGAGATCACATAGCGAGCCGTTAATATTTCCATCTGAGGAGAAGAGATTGGTAGACATTTCTATGATACCCGAGGGCGATGCGAGGCTGGGCAGTGACTTCACGGAAAAACAACTTTTGCCCAGTTCCTTTAAGGCTTTTGATCTCAATCTTATGGAAGCTTCTGATGTGAATGAGAACCATGATGCTGATCCTGTTCATATCTTCCCGTTGATTACTGAAGGTGTAAAACAAGAAGCACCAGTTGATATTCATCTGACCATGAGTAGTAACTCTGATATAACAAGTAACTATGCTAAATCTAGCTTTGATGGGAGAGATGTTGAAGTGATTGATTTGGAAAATGATTCTGAACAAGAAGAGAAGGCTTTCAATAACCCTGAGAGAAAGTAAGTTTACACCTCTAATTTACTTGTCCTTTTACATCACTTTTTCTTTTGCGTAAGTTTCATTTTGTTGAATTGATTACTGATTTCATCTTCGTGTTGATTTAGCTGATTTATAGAGTTTGTATTATTAGGATTATTGTTAACTTTTTTTAACAAACGTTTTCCATAAAATGGTTGTACGTGATCTGCTTTGCTTTGCTTGCATCAGTTCTTTTCTAATTGTTGAATGTCTTAAACAGGTCTGAAGTTGTATTCACTGGAACAGATAGCTTTTCTGATAATGCACATAGTACCAACAATATACCCCACGCTCAGGATGGTTATGGACTTATGATTTCAGAATTACTTGGGAATGATATAGCAAACTGTCCTCCTTTACCAGCAGATATGGATTCTTTGCACAATGATATGGGCCTCCATAATGGACTCCATAATGGAGAGGTACTAGTGCCACAGTTCTCATAGGGAATCTTTGCAGTGATATTTGTAATGCATTTAATAAGTCCATTTACTACTGTTCTTCTCTGTTTCACTTACAATTTAATATGTTAACCTCCTGTTGAATGTTTTGAAAACACCTATTTGTATATTTTCTTAATTATTTTTCTTTTTCCTTCAGGGCATGCTTGGTGACGATGATTCAATATATATGTCCTTGGGAGAAATTCCGATAAGTATGCTAAAGATCTTCTTAGCAACACTTTTTGATCTGAACTTAGTTACTGAGTTGTCTCTGAATGCAATGCCCTCTGTGTGTGTGTGCATCTGTCTATGCATTAATGCAGTCACCATTCATTTGATTCGGAGTATGTATATTATGAAATCATGTTCCTTTAATCTATTTTAAAAAAATGAAACCATGTTCCTTTGATAAAGATAGCCCATTACGTTAATTTCATTATGTTGATCAAGTGGCTTGCCGTACTTATCAGGGATTCATTCTTTGAGATACTATTGTACTTTTTCTTACCAGCAGATTCACGTTCTGCTACTTGGCTATAAGCACATACAAAAATGTCTGCACTTTTCTGCTCATCTCTTTTGATGGATGAGAATTAAGATACTAGGTGTCTGAGGTCTTCTTTCTTCTCTGATCATTCTGAATGTATTTGCTGTAGGTTTTCTGTCACCCTGGGAGCAGCCGGCACAAGAATTTGGAAAGCCATTTTGAGGTGCTACGATCCAGGTTTTCTTGAAATGTATTTATTTTGATAACCAAGAAATCCCAAGGTTCAGTGGCGCATGGTTCGAAACTCAGGTGGATAATGGGTTGCTCTCTACTCTTCTCCACTTAAATTCTAGGCTTTTGTCTGTGGCAAGTTTTGAACCCGTGATGTGTGCCTAACCCACACATCACGCACTGCTCTGTTACCACTATATCAAAGTCCTGGGGCTGATGTATTATCACAATGTTTTCTTTATGCCTACTGTCAGTTCTCAAAACTAGCTCTTTAGTAGTGCAACTTTGTAACTTTGTATGCCTTGTGCAAAATCTTGCTTGTTTCTAGATGATGATGTATTTCTTCCCCCCTCCCTATCCCTCTTGTTTGAAGTTAGGCAGCAGTGTGTTTTTTTTGTAACTCATTTCTGTTTCACCTCTTGTTTGAATTGGAAAAAGGGTTACTACCTCCTTGCGGGATTGAAAAGCTAAACTGGAAGATTTATAGCAGTGCTTTGGCATACAATAACTTGGTTCAGTTGATGGAAACTTTTGAGAAACCAAATTGAAGCCTATCTCTGTCAGACAAAAATTGTAACCATAAAACAACTGTGTGGTTTAGTTGTTTTTAATTTAAACCAAAACTACAACAATTATTCTGCTCCTTCAAACCTGTTGGCTGTTGAAGTATACATAGAGTTAACAAAAAGGGTCTGTACTCTGTACTTTGTATTGTAACCTGTGGTTGTGCCACACCTTTGTTTTCTTCTTTTTAACCTCTTATGTCCTTTATGCTTCTTGACAAATAAAACCTCCACTCATTGAAATTTGATCAAGCTAGAATCTTTAAATCTTGGACTCGTGTATGTACATGCAAACATCATCACATGTTCCTCAGAACATTTTATCCTGTTGATTATGCATACTTGCTTGTTTGGTGAGTCAAATTTGTATGAGCAAATCTTTGGGATTTTATTGGTCATTGAATCACATAGATCTTTGACTGAAAAGCCTCCTCTTCTTTTTTGTTTCTGTTCTTTTTTGCTGCTGCAGCCTCTCATTGTATTACCTTACTATAAAGTTGAACTTCTCTTTGATTGTGGTTGTCTTCCACAAGTAGTTCATACAATCTTCTCAAGAATAATGACTTGTGTTTGTATTTTATGTAAAACAGCTCATCTCTTGCACCTTTTTATTTCATAGAATTTTATGACTGGGTTCCTTTTTTTTTTTTTTGGATAAGACGATAAGTTAAACTTGTATTGCCCATACAATCACCCAGTATATGATAATTGTAATGATTTGAATATTATGATTGGGGTCCTAATGGTGAGTTAATCTAGAACATAAAATTGGGCGAGTTTGAATCTGATCATGTTAACATCTTTTCTAGTCAGGCAGAGGTTTACAATTGTAGATGTGCAGCATGCAGAGATGGCTTCAAGAATAGATTTTTTTTTTTTGATGATGAGGTTCTCTATGCTATGGGAAGAATTAGTAGAGTATTAGGAGCCATGGAGGCAAAGTTGAATGCTAAATAATAGGTTTTGTTCGTGGAACTCACAGTGCCAGTTTCATTGTGAAGCCAATTGTAAAATTTTCAAAATCCTATCTAGAAATGGGCCAAAAGTCTGAGATGTGAGAAACATTGTTGGATGAATCAAATCAGTGTGTGTAAGTTTCATTTGTTTAATAATGGTTGAGGCAAAATAGTGGATTCACGCCCCCAAGACCTAGCTCGAGTGGCAAAAGGTGGAAGATTGTGGCTTAGGTCGCAGGTTCAAATCCACACCATGCAAAGCGAAGCCTGGTATTTAAGTGGAGAAGGGTAGAGAAGAGGGCCCATTATCCACCGAGTTTAGAAGGCTGTGATTGGTCCAAAGGGCGGGTCATAGACGGATTTTTCGGTTATCAAAATAAAATAAAATAGTGGATTCACAAGCACAGATGTTCCTTTTTTGTAGTATTACATTTTGCCTTCTGATTATTCCTTTGGGTCCTTGGTCTGAAAGGGTGAAAGCTAAGATGACAATCTTATAATAGTTTGGGTGTGGGGGTGGGGGTGGAGGTGGATTTTCACTGGAAGTGGAGCATCAAGGAAGATGTGGTATATGGACAAGAAGAAATGTTCGTTTTTTAGTATGAAATGAAAATGTGGCAAATGCAACACTTCTGCCAAGTAGTAGAAAATATGTTTCAGGATTATTTTTTTTTGGATAGGTAATGTGAGTGCACTATTGATGAGAAGCAGCAAAAGGAAATGATGGTGAATAGTACACTAAAGATAACTTTATAGTGTGTATAGAAAGTCACTCTCTGAGGGTCTATTGGGAACAACCTTCCTACCCACGAAGGTAGGGTAAGGTCTGCATACATCCTACCCTGGACAATACTAGGTATGTTGTTGTATAGAAGTCAACTATGGTCTCCATGTCTAATATATTTACCGAGGCCAAGTTGCACCAAAAACTAGCTAAAATATACACTTGGTGTTTAAGATTAGCTACATTATCCTTCTTGTCTTCTAAATCGCTAGCGTTTCTTTCCTTCAATGTAACCCATCATGGGGTACAAATTTGGTGAAACAGGCCTTGTCAAGTTGATTTAGGAGAGACTTCTCACAACTCAAAGTAGGCAAAAGAATTGTGCATTTGGTGAAGCATTATCCGTACTGTTTCACCAACTACTAGCAGCTAAAATATACAACTACTTGTACAACATTTCCATGCATGTAAACTCTCATGGCTTGCTCTATAGGCAATGCCATGAGTTGTTTTTTTTTTTTTTTTGAGAAGGTTAACGATTTGTATTATAAACCAGTACTTATGTAGTACTGAAAGCCCCTTTACAAAAACGTATGAAAATCTAGGAACAAAAACAGCATGCCTAGCATGATTCTAATACTTCTAGGATTGCTTTTGCATCTACAGGGGAACTCTTTGTACACCAAAAACATAATAACAGAATACAATGTGTTTTGATCATTTGTAGGGATCTGCTTCTATCCTCAAAGCTTCTAGCATTCCTTTCTCTCCAAATGGTCCACCAGATGCATGCTGGAATTGTCCTCCAATAACTTCTGTTCTTTGCCTCAATTTCTGCTTCCTCCCAACTTGAGAGAGTGTCAACAATCTTGCTAGGCATTGTCCATTGAGTGCCTTTGAGATTGATGAAAATCTTCCACAATTAATCAGTGATTTTGCAATGTAAGAACAAATGCCTAACGGTCTCAGCTGCCTCCACACATAAACAATAATGTGTCACCAGAATGTTGTTTCGTTTCCTCAGATTCTCATGTGTTAGTACTGCCTCCTTTGCTAGCAGCCAAGTGAAGCATGCCACCTTGAGTGAAATTTTTGTTTTCCAGATTTGTCTCCAAGGCCAATTGAGGGTTAGAGGAGCCCTGTTCATGACCTTGTAACCTGAGCTCACTTTGTATCTTCCTTTGTTGTGCTCTGTCCACCATAGGCAGTCCTCCCCTTCCTTCAAACCTTGAAATGATTCTAACCTTTTAAAGAATTCAACTAATCTACAAACTTCCCAGTCATTTAAATTCCTTCTGAGAGATAGGTCCCAACCTTGGGGAGACCACATTTCAGCCATTGTTCTGTCTTTATGTAGTGCTAAGTCAAAGATGTCAGGGAAGATCTCTGACAAATTTTGATTACCAAGCCATCTATCTTTCCAGAATTGTGTCCTGACACCATTGTGTACTCTTATAGTAGTATGATTCCTTAGGAAAGGCAACCAGTTCCTAATTGATCTCCAAACAGTAACACCATAGGGATTGGTTGCTTCCTTGGTGACCCATGAATCCATCTCTCCGTACTTCAGTTTAATCACCTTGCTCCACATTGAGTGTGGTTCATGAGCATATCTCCACAACCATTTCAGCTTTAGAGCCTTGCTTTGGGTTCTTCAAATTTTTGATGCCTAATCCTCCTTGTTTTTTTCCCACCGGTGATCATAACTTCCCATTTTACCAGATGGCATCCCTTTCTTTTCTTGTTTCCTCGCCAGAAAAAATCCCTTCTTAGTTTATCCAATCTCTGTACTACTCCTGCAGGTATTGGGAACAAAGTTAGCATGTACGTAGGAAGGGCATCCAAGACTGCATTTATCAAAGTGTGCCTGCGCCTGCCCCCCTTTGATAAATATTGTGCTTTCCATCTGACCAACTTCTTCTCACATTTCTCCAAGACAGAATTCCAAATTTCTTTGGACTGTGATTTTGCTCCCAATGGCATCCCCAGGTAGATAGCAGGTAGTGCTCCCACCTCGCCTCCTAGCACTGAGGCCAAAAGCTCCATATTAGAGACCATGTTTATGGGATATAAATGTCTCTTTCCCCAGTTGATGTGAAGACCTGACATACCTTCAAAAAGCACCAAAATGACCCTAAGTTATCTTAGTTGTTCCTCATCAGCATCTCAAAAAATCGAGTTGTTCCTCATCTGCATCACAAAAAATCAAAGTGTCATCTGCATATTGGAGATGTGTTACCTCCAAACTCCTCTCATTGTTTGTAGACACTTCAAATCCCGTGATCCATCTATTTGTTTTAGCTGTCTTGATCATGTTGTTAAGTCCCTCCATGGCAAGAATAAAGAGGAATGGAGTTAAAGGATCCCCTTGTCTGATTCCTCTTTGGGCTTCAAAATAACCTTCAGGAGCACCATTAATGAGGACATAAAACTTTATTGTTGAGATGCAAAAATGTATCCATCTAATCCACTTTTCTCCAAATCCCATTTTTCCAGAGTATATTGAGAAGGAGCCCCCAGTTAACATGATCATAAGCTTTCTCAATGTCCAATTTGCATAGGATGCCTGGTTTCTTTTGACCCACTCTAGAGTCTATTGCTTCATTTGCTATTAACACCGCATCCATGATTTGTCTTCCTTTGATGAAAGCCATTTGTTGGGGGTATACCAGCTTGTACATCACCCTTTTGATTCTTTCTGTTAAAACTTTAGACAACAACTTCTAGAAACTGCCTATCAAGCTTATTGGTCTGAAGTCTTTAAGTTCCTTTGCTCCTTTCTTCTTTGGGATCAAGGCAATATAGGTGGCATTGAAACTCTTCTCAAACATTTCCTGCTTATAGAAATTATGGAAGGCCGCCATGATGTCAGGCTTAAGAATTTCCCAACATTTGATGAAAAAACCCATAGTATAACTATCAGGTCCTGGGGCTTTATCAATGGCACATAACTTCAAGCATTTATAAACTTCCTGCTCCTCAAATTTGGCCTGTAGTTGTGATCTTTCTTCCTCTGATATTGAAGGACAATTCACTAAATTTCCATCAGGTCTCCATCTCTGTTTCAAAATACAGTTTCTCATAAAACAGGATGATTTCCTCCCTAACTCTGTCTGGTTCTGTGATGATCTTTCCCTCTACTTCCAACTGGTCAAAATGGTTGCTTCTTTTGTGGGCATTTGCAGAATTATGGAAGAATTTTGTATTGTTGTCTCCTTCCTTCAACCACAAGATTCTAGACCTTTGTCTCCAAGCACATTCCTCATTTTAGATCAGTTCTTCGTACTCCATAAAGATTTCTGCCTTCAAAGTAGCCTCTTCCTCTGTCAATGCTCTTTTGTTCAGCAAAGAATCCAAATCTGCCATTTTGTTAAGCAGTTTGGACCTTTGAATCTGTAGATTTCCTTTTTCAATTTTACTCCACTCTTTGAGCTTTTCTTTCAGTGCTTTCATTTTACATGCTAGGATGTAGTCTGGCCTCCCATAGAAGGAGAAAGAGTTCCACCAGTTACTGATTTTATCACTAAAACCTTCTGTGTTCAGCCACCAGTTCTCAAACTTGAAATATGATTTACTATGTTCCCAAGGTCCACAAAATAGAGCTATTGGGACATGATCTGAGGTCATTCTTTGGAATGTAGTTTGCTTCATCTTGTTAAATTGATCACTCCATTCAGACGTGAAAAGTATCCGGTCTATTCTGGATGTTGTTGTATGTGTATCCCCTTTGAACCATGTGTAATGACCTCCTTCAAGTGGCAAATCTATAAGCTCTAGGTCCTCAATAGTATCAGAGAACTCAATCATGGCTGAAGATCTTCTTTGACAGTTTCTTTTCTCCGAGGAGAACCTGCACACATTAAAATCTCCACAAATTGCCCAAGGCCCTTCCATTAATCCTCTGACCCCTCCTAATTCATTCCACACCTCCCTCCTTTCCACCTTACAATTTGGTGCATAGACCCCTGAGATGTGGCAGTTGAAATTTTGAAGTAAAGCCTCAAAACTACATGTTAGAGTATAAGCACCAACTTGTAGTATCTCTCCCTTCCACACCCTGCTATCCCATAACATAATGATTCCCCCTCTTGTTCCACTTGCCTCTATGTGACGGGGTTGATCATTTCTGATGATTGACAATTTTTAATGGTATAAAGCTGGAAGAAGATTTTTTGGCTGGGTCTTGTGGAAAATGATGTGAAGCTGTGAAAGCAACTTGAATATTGGTTTGTGCTTATATTGGTATGGGAATTCACATGCCTGGTTTCATTACTTTTCTAACGGTGTTAAACAAAAAGATGAAAGTTGTTAAGCATTAAATACTTCAAGGATGTATTTTGTTAACTATGGTGGTTCAAGGATGTGGCTTAAGTTTTGAATATAGTTGGAGGATGTCTCTAGCCAAAAACTCATGTAAAATGTTATTTTGCTGTCATATTTTTTTCTTGCAAAACCTACTTTGAATTCTTTTTCTTTTGAGTTGAGGGTCTATCAAAAACAATTTCGCTCTACACCACAAAAGACAGGGGTAAGGTCGGCTTACATCCTACCCTCCCAAAAAATCCTACCATCCACATACCCCACTTGTGGGTTAATATTACAGTGGGAATGTTGTTGATTTTTATACATATAGTGCAACTTCTAACGAGTCCTAAACCCTTAAACTTTGTTTGGATGGTCGTTATATATTGTTTCATATTGTATAGTATAGTACTGCATTGTTTTAATCAATGTAATGTTTGGATAGATTTATCATTTCTCATCATTACATAATGTCACACATCAACAATTTGAAATACAACCTAAGCAAAAGTAGGATACTGGGTAAAACGAAAAGGTAGGGTAAATGATAAAATAGAATTATCAAATAACAAATAACGACAAAATTAGAAAAAAAAATAAGATGATCATGCAATCACACCAAATCAGTTATTACACAAAGCGGGACTTCACCTAACAATAAATTTAACCATACAATAAAATCTAAGAAGTAACAATCAAAACTAACATCCTATTTAAACTAAGAACACAAAACAATACAACAGGTAACAACCATCCAAACAAGCGGTTAATTGAACAATGTTAATAATTTTGAGATATCCAATAGGAAAAGGTGTTAATACACTTGCCTCTCATTAATCTTGATCCTCCTCCGCTGTTCTGTCTCAGAATGCTTCGAACGATGAGCAGTTACCTTCCCATCATTGCTCTTCCCTTCTAATTTCCCTGTCACACTCAAACCCCATTAGCTTTTATCCAAAAAAAAAACATCAAATCCCAGTTAGTTTAGAAATAGCAAATTAAATACCCTTTTGAGAAGAACCATCGGGAGTTCTAGATGAAAACTCTTCATCGTCTTCTTCGTCCTCTTCATGATTATTCTTCACAGTCCTCACCATTTCAAAATCTGAAACCAGATGACAAAAATCAGTCGAAACAACAACTTATTAACGGTTAACAAAAGAAGATTAAACAGAGAGACTGACGATTTCGCTAAAAGGCTCCGATTATCGAAGAACACTTGCAAAACATACACCGAATAATGTGTGTACAGAGAAATGTTGTTTGGCTAATTATTGGAAACCCTAGGCAATTAAGTGGATGTTTTGGTAGGTTCTAAATTGCCCTTGCAATGACACTCCATTATATTTTTTCATTTGTGTTTTAAAAAAATTAAATTAGTATACATTGCGCCATGTTTGGAAAATTATAAAAACATGAGTTTTATTAAGATATATATATATACTAGTAACGAAAGCCCGGGCGCTGCTCGGGCCCAACATTAACAAAGTTATATTGTTATTCTCTCCGTCCCATATTAGATGAGAATCTTACTAAAAAAAAAAATTTCATATTATTTGAGCACTTATTAAATTAGGATAGAATTAATTAATTCTTCGGAAAATGGTCAAAATTGCCCCTGAACTATGAGATATAGACCAC